GTGTCTTTGCCAAGACAGCCCCAAATTGAGGTCACAAAGAGTCATGAAAATCACTGAACAACAACACAGTGATTTTTAAACTATTTCTGGTAGCTTATAGTATTGTTTCCTTATTATAGCTTTGGCATTTAACTATGATACATCTGAATATGTCAGATCTTGACTTCTCCCTTGCAGGTATCTTATGGATTCTTTACATTTATATTTTACTGCTTTTGATCAATTTTGTAAATATTTCTTTGACAGTTTCCTGAAATATGGTATCTAAATTCTTTTAGGCAATTAGCAAGAGGAAATATAAAGGAAGGCATAGTCATGTCAAGAAATTAAGGAATCAGGGCAGCTAGGTGGCACAGTGGATGGAGCATCAGCCTTGGAGTCAGGAGGACCTGAGTTCAAATCCAGCCTCAGACACATAACACTTACTAGCTGTGTGACCCTGGACAAGTCACTTAACCCCATTGCCTAACCCCCCCCCCCCAAAAAAAAAAAAGAAATTAGAGAATCAGAGCAAGAAAGCAGGGTGGAGAGCAGTTGGATAAAGATCAGTGAGAGAAAAGCAGAAGTGATTTTGTCATCAGAGTATACTATATACCACTTGGACAGAAAGAGGAAATTGATGATACAGAGGATAGTTATAGTAGTGATGAGAGACTTCAGTTATTTCGACATGTCTTTTGGGATTCTCCCTCTGCCAAGGGCAGAGTAGTTGATGACTTCTTGATTTGCCTTAATGATAATTTCATCCTTCTAGAAGCTGTTTATGCTTGGTATAACAACTGTTAGGTTTGTTTTTTCCTTTAGACATTCCATCAGAATGGAATATAAGTTTTCCTAATAATTTTTTCATTAACCAAAACTTGAATTAAACCAACATATTCTGTGCTGGATCTAATTTTCATCAATAGGGACAAATTAGTTGTTGGAGGGGAAATGACCATTCCATCCTATAATTTTTGATAGAGGAGAGGAAACCAGACATTATCTGGAATTATATGTAAGCATGTTTCAAAAGGTTCAACAGAAATATAGGTAGGATCCAGTGAATTAAGATTCTATAGAGAAAATCAGCCCAAGAGGGGTAGGAAACTCCCAAGAATGAAATTCTGAAGGCACAAAGAGAAATAGTTCTATTGTGGTGGAAACATGGAAGTTGTCTTCAGAGCCTGACATAGGGACGTCTCCAACCAACTTAGATTGTAAAAGGATATATGTAAAAGAAGGAAATGAGGGCAAGTAGCAGAGGATGAATAGAAGTGTGGCATATTCCTGTGAAAATTTAAGGAGTACCAACACTTGACACAAGCTGAGGATGGTGAAAAAAAAATGTGGTTTTTAAATTTATTAAGGGAAAGAGGAGGATCATTACCTCTGAGAAATACTGTGTGACCTTAGGCAAGTCACTAGACATCACTGCATCTCATTTTCTTCATCTGTAAAATATTGGTCATGGACTTTTGATAATGGCTTCCAAGATACCTTGTAGCTCTAAACCTATAATTCTGTGACCAAAGAAAGGATCTAGTTGCTACTTGGGGTGGATGGGATAATGATATCTGACCGAGGAAGGACCAGACAGAGCTGCTCCATTCTTCTGAAACTTCTTTTTTCTCTGCTAAGAAAAATGATTTTTTTTGCCACATTAAGAGCCTCTGGGATAATAATCCCTCTGTATTCTGCACTGGTCAGATCATATCTACAGTATTGTGTTCAGTTCTGAGTATTGTAGTTTAAGAAGGACGTTGATAAACTGGAGAGTGTCCAAAGAAGGCAAACAACATGATGAAAGACCTCAAGTCTATGCCAGCTAAGATCTTTGCAAGAAACTGGAGCTGTTTGAAGTCTGGATAAGGGAAGATTGGGCCAGGAGAGGAAGGGGGCAGTGGGGAGGGGTCCTAATAGCTGTATTTAAGTCATTGAAGATCTGTCTTGTGGAGAAGGGATTAGTTCTGTTTGTCCTTAGAAGGTAGAACTGAGGGGCAGCTAGGTGGGGCAGTGGATAGAGCACTGGCCCTGAAGTCAGGAGGACCTGAGTTCAAATCTGTCCTCAGACCAAACACTTAACACTAGCTGTGTGACCCTGGGCAAGTTGCTTAACCCCAATTCCCCCCCCCCAAAAAAAACAAGAAGGTAGAACTGGGAAGGGTAAGCAGAAGTGACAAAGGACAAAGGACAAAATATGGGCTTGATATTAGGAAGGTCTTCCAGCAAAGAGTAGATGACTGCTCTTTGTATGTATTATAGTGGGTATTTGTTATGGTTATTGACTGCTGAGATCCCCTCCAACTCCAAAATTCTGTGATTCTGATTATTATTATTTTTGGTATGATATGTCTGTAATCCTCCGATTGCTGCATCATGACCTGCCCTACAGATTTGTGTACTTTCTAGCAGTTTGGATTATTCAGTGATTTCTTGCATATTTCCTTTCCTTGAGAGATGAGCAAAAACTCCAAATCCCAGCAAGCTATGCAGATTAAGGCCTTTTCCCCCCAACCCAGCTTCCCCTCTTGGCCTCCCCGAAACATTACAAAAGGTTTCACTCTGTACCCTATTCCTTGGCCCTAGCTTGAGGGGCAGGGAAGAGCAAGTTAGTAGTCATTGCTATGTCCCTCGTTGGCTGACTCTCTCCCCACTTCCTCTTTATTTCTAAACCCAGACCACTCCCCTGATGTGGGATCCACAGACTTGTGAAAGAGTAGACTGAGGAGCTAAGATTGTAGCAATTCTTCCCTTGGACCAAAAAGTACTTAAGCCCCAAACCTAACATTTGAAAAGAAAAGAAGTCCCAAGTGTGAACATTACCTTTAAATCTCTTTCCACTCTCTTCCTATGAACAAAAAGCTCTCCTTTTGTCTGTCCACCTATATTTTCTATGCCATTAGTCCAGACCAAATGTTGAATTTTGGCACCTGTACTTACAGATTAAATGATCATATGTTAATGTTGAGTTAAGTCTTGATGAGTAATGGTTAAGGAAAACACTAGGGTGATTAGACTAAAGTGTTCTCAGATCTCAGGAGAACTCAAAAAAGAGGAAAGCTGAAGCAGAGAAGAAATCAGTAAAAGCTGAGACTCTGTGACTCATAAGAGCTTAGTTTGAGGTAACATTCTATTTGATCAGAAGTATAAATTATAATACAGAGAGATTTGTGTTTGACCAAGAGAAGAGGCAAAGGAAATAGAATATTTAAGGGCAGCTCTGTGTGCTGCCATAGTGCATAGAGTTCTGGGCGTGGATCAGGAAGACTTGAGTTCAGATCTGGCCTTGGACACTTCCTAACTGTATGACCCTAGACAAGTCACTTAACCCCTATTTACCTCAGTTTCCTCAACTGTAAAATGAAGATAATAACAGCACCTACTTCACGGGTTGTTGTGAAGATCAGATGACATATTTGTAAAGTGCTTAGCACAGGGCCTGGCACATTGTTGTGCTATATAAATGTTTATGCCCTTCTCTTCCTCCAAAATAAAATTTTGGAAGGCCTAGGGAGAGAAGGAAATGAGTTTGGAATGGATTAGGAGAGTGCCAAAGGATATCTAAATATTATCTCAAAGGCACAAAGTTGTACACTTTATTATAGGTGACTATATTTGCCTGCCTAAGCATTGGTCTGTACACTCTTATAAATCCTCGTGCCTGTAATTAAGTAATTATATTATATTCAGAACAACTGGCCTGAAAGTTAATGACTTACTGCTAAAGAGAAAAGTACAGATCATAAGATTAGGTCTTCCTTCCCAAAGTCTTATCCTTGGTGGTAGAAAGGGAAGTGACAGGGAGCTTGAGTCTGAAATTCTGCCACATAGACATAGAGTCTTGCATTCTCTTACCTTCAAATGCTCATTCCTTCTTAGATATACATGTACGTGCACATGTGCACACGTGCATACACACATACACACACACACACACACGGAGTCCCTATTTTAATTTCTACTTGTGTTTTTCCTTCATCCTAAAATGAAGGTACCTCTGCTAAAGTCTTTTTCTACTACCTCATCATGGTGTGGACATGATCATGGGTTCTCAAAGGTTTTACCAATGGAGCAGACGCTCTAGTAGGGTCTATTAAGCTGGAAAGGCTTTAAATATTAGCTCAGTGATAGACCATTTTGTCTGTTGTCTGAGGATCAGCCTACCTAAAGTCAGAGATACTTCGTTACCAGGTTCGCCAAAGAGTGATGATTTTTTTGACCATAAGAACCCTTGAAACATCATCTACTTAAATAAAGAGAGTTGCAATCTGATTCAGTGGAAGAAGTACTTTCACCAATGAAATCTTAGAAGTGAAGTAAGATGAAGATGGTGGTAGATTAGGGGTCTACCTGCTCCTATAATTTCCCCATTTCTCCCACTTAAGGAAGAAAACATCAGGGGCAGAATAAATACAACAAATGGCTATAACTGTCCCTTTCAATTTTTTTTCATAATAGTAAAAGGGATCAAAAGTATGACTAATTTCAAATGGTAGATAATCCCCCCAATTCATCTTTTGCTCTGAAATGTGTTTTTGTGCTTATATTGGAATATAGGTGTATCTGGTATTCTGTAAATTTACTTTTAAAAAATATGGGGCATTCCCATTGCAGATCTGACGCAGGGACTGAAAATAAGGGTACTTTCTTCATCCTGTGTACCTTCTCATCTTTCACTCACCCTCTGAGTCTTGACCATTTCCTGTTCCCTCTCAGACTTCCGTAAGACTTACCCTTTCTTAGAATATATTTAGAAGGGCAAGCTCAAAAGGGCTTCTCTGCAGGCCAAAGAGAGTCATGAAGTCAGAAAACCCTTAAGAGTATAGGTGCTGCCTAACAATAAACTTGAAAACAAGGTGGTTTAAAAAAAAATTGAATAAACTGAAATGTAAATGATCCAGATGGAGGTAATCATGAGATCTTTTAGTTGGACAAATGGGACTTGTTTGTGAGCTGTGCTTGGTTATTTACTTTTTATTCCTGCTTTCCTCTAAAACCATTTTTCTTTCTTTGTAAAGAGTTCGCTAGAGAAAAGAGTGAGATACCAGCAGCAAGAAGAAGAGCTGCAGAAGCTTCGAAAGAACTTGCAAAGAGTTCAGACTCTGTGCAGCTCAATTGAAAGAGAGCTTCAGTTTGAACGGACAAAAAACTTTGATTTAAAGCAGCAGAATAACTCACTTCAGGAAGAGAACATTAAGGTAAAGCATAATTCCCTTGCTTAACCACTACTCACTCAGTCAGCAAGCACTTATTAAGTGCCTGCTGCATGCCAGGCACTGTGTGCTAAGTTCTGGGGAAATAAAGAAAGACAAAAGACAGTCCTTGCTCTCAAGAAGCTTACAGTCTAATGGGGAGATATCACACAAACAACTCTGCAGTCAAGATGCCTCAAGGATAAGTTGGAGATGATCGACAAAGAGGAAGGTACTCATATAGAAAGGGATCTGAAAAGGCTTCTTATAGAAGGGAGGATTTCAGCTGTCACTTGATGGAAGCCAAGAAAAATGCCCATAGTCAAGAGGTTAATTGCCTTGTGTGAGGAACAGCAAAGAGGCCCAGTGCCATTGAATATCAGGTACATGATCGGGAGCGAGGTGTAAGGAGCCTGGAAAAGTGGGAAAGGGCCAGGTTATAAAGGGCTCTGAGCACCAAATAGAGGATTTTATGCTTGATCCTGGAGGCAATAGGGAGCCACTGGAGTTTATTGAATGGGGGTGGAGTGGGTGACACAGTCAGACACGTGCCTTAGGAAGATCAGTTTGATAGCTGAGTAGAGGATAGAATGAAGCAGGGAATGAATTGAGTCAGGGAGGCCAACTATAGAAGGCTGCTGTAATAATCCAAGAGCAAGGTAATGAGGGCCAGTAAAAGGGTGGTGGCATTGTCAGAGGAGGGAAGAAGTATACAAGAGATGCTGCAAGTGTGTCTTGTCGATGGATGATAGAGGGGGGCAATTGGCTGGAGATGAGATGGACTGGGATCAGTTATGCTTGGAGAGGAGTTTGCCTTGGCAGGGAGGAGGGCCACCTCTTCATCTGAAATAGGGGTAAAGGAAGAGATCATGGTGGAAGATATGTGAGTGATGAGGAGGAAGGGCTAAGAGGGACCACTCAGAAAAAGTCTGTTTTTCAGTGAAATAGGCAAGGTTCTCAGCTGAGAGTGTGGGAGGAGGAAGCTATGAGAAGTGATAAAAAGATTTGGCAAATCCTCTGTATTGAATGGGATTGCAAGCTTATTAATGAGGCATAAACGAATTAAAGGTCCAAGTGAAATGATATAACACATTTTTAGTGGACCCAGTTAATATGGTTTTGTGATTTTCCCCAGCTGTGTTCAGTGGCAAGTGTATAAGAGTGAAGGTGGTGGATGATAGGAATGACTGAAGTCTGAGGCTTGTCTCAGGGTAAGGGTGGTGACAGAATAAGTGGGGAGGGGATTTGAGAAAAGAAGATGGTTTAGAGTTGAACTGGTTCACTAGGAGACCAAGATGGTAAAGGGAGAAGAGTGTAGCTCTCTTC